CGTGTGCCCCCCACGGAAGAGCCCCCACTGAGCGGCAGGCAAATCCGCAGTTCTCCGCTGATTCCCTGGGTGGGAGCCTGGCTGTGGGGCATGTTACATAATCTCCATCGTCGGAAAGTCAGCCTTCCTAATTAAACTGTGCTGCTGCTCATGGGGCTGTCCTAGAGTGTGGCGGCACCAGGAAGTAGCTGCCAGAGCCTGGGGGTGCTGTGGGGGGCAGCGGGAGTGACTGGGTGTGCGGGGGCTGCCAGAGCCTGGGGGTGCCTTGGGGGGCAGCGGGAGCGGCTGGGTGGCAGACCTGTTGGTGCCTCCTTCAACCCCCTTCCCCCGTCGCACCGACCCGGGTACAGGGCTGACAACATGCTCTGTTTGCTAAGAGAAGACATAGGCCATTAATAACGTTAATATTTCTTAATGAGTATGCAGCTGGCAGACAGGACGCCACGGTGGCTGACCCAGGGCTTTCCTGGGGGTGCAGCATGAGCTCGGGCGGGACCCTAGGGGACAGTAGCACAGAAGCGGCTCTGGAGGAGCACCCCGACCGCTGGCCCTCTGTCACGTTCTCACCAAGAAGGGGCCTGGCGTCTGCTGGCCCACTTGGAGGCAAAGCTGCCAGGTGTCCCTGGGAATGTGGTAGGCATCCCCCACCTGCAGCTTACACCTTCACGGCAGGAGGGGCTCAAGGGACAGCTTGGCTGGGCAGCCAGAGGAAGAGGCCCAGAGGGAGCTGTGGGGGGCCCCAGTAGGGCGCCCCGCAAATCTTCAGCGGCTGTGGGTGAACTGGGCCAGGACCCTCCACCCCGTCCCTGCCTCAGTCCTGCCTCTGGCGTCTCCCACCAGCCCCACCCATGGGACACTGCAGGCCCCCACACCCTGTTTGAGTCAAGCTGGGGCCCCCACAGGTGGGAGCAAAGACAGCCTACCCACATAGCCCAGCCTGTGTGACTCGGGCTGGGGGGAAGCTTGCTGTGAGACCAGAGGGACCGTCCTGGGGACACAGCCTGCTTGGGCCCCACCTAGGCCAGCAGCCATGGGGGAGGGGCTTCCTTCAGACACCGCAGCTGTGGAGCTGGACAAGGCCGGACCGCAGGGGTGGAGGACCCGTGGAGTTAGGTCAGCCATGATTTGCTGTGGGCATGGAAACCCATGAAAACCCACCCCCCTGGGCCCACTGTGGGGCAGGTTGAGCCAGGCAGCAGGGCGGAGGGTGACCCCGTTTGTTCCAGCCCTCTCTGGAGGGGGGTCTGCCGGCCAGAGGCCACTCCTGTGACTTGAGTGTTAAGCCTCTCAACCGCCCGTCAGGCACAGACAACTTGTGTGCCTGCTGGTCTTAAACCCATCCGCTGGCCAGACACTATGCAGCCCATTAGCAGCAGAGGCCTGCGAGGGAAGCCACGCTGCAGCTAATGAGGAAATATTGGCGCCATCCTCCAACGCAGGGGCATTGCTGGGGCCAGGGAGCAGGGTGCTGTCCGGCAGGGTCCCTGTTACGCTCAGGTGGGACTGACAGCCCCTCCCAGCTACATCTCAACTCTGTCTGACATCTGGGGAGCCCACCCCTCGGTCCTGGCTGACCTCTGGACAGCGCCCAGAGAAGACCCAGCCTCCCCTGCACGTGTGGCATCCCTGCAGCCAGTGCTCCAGCCAGCAGGAGTGCCGGCTGCCCAAGAACTTCCCATCAGCCAGAGCCTGACCCCCAGAAAAGGCTGAACCGAGAGCAGCGAGCCAGGCATGTCCGGGTGGTGCCTGGGGACCTCAGCGAGGCAACCCTGCTCTGCCAGAGCAGAGGGATGCCCACCGGCCCCTCTGGCGTCTCCTCGACAAGGGAGACCGAGCACTGTCCAAGGACCCTTGGAGCTCTCTGAGAGGCCCCCCGCCCGTGAGCAGGGCCACCGGGCCCTTACTGGAGACAGCGGTTCCCGCACCCATGCACTCCTCATCCCACGGGGCGCCTTCCCCAGAGCCACATCCGTCACCCAGCTGAGCCACCGTGGAGCCTGGGCAGCCTTTGACGTGGGCTCACCGGCGCCGCTGGCAGTGGGGTTCAGGGCTCCTGCTTGGGCGTAACTTCCCAGCCTAGCCCTGCTGCCCGGCACCATCTTCCCCAAAGCTCAGCTGTCCCATGCGTGCATGTGAAGCAAAGCAAAGGAAACGGGAAGTCAGCTCCAGGGAAACGGACATGCGTGCTGCCACAGCTCTTCCCGCTCATGCCCAACTCACATCCTGGCTGCCCTGCCACTGTGCAAGCCACTTCCTCAGCAGGGTGCAGGTGTAGACAGCACCACCAGACTCCAGGGGCCGGCGACGATGCAGCCAGCTGGCCTGGGTACGGATCCAGCCACGGCCCTGTGAGGTGGGGACCGCAGGTCACACACATGCATCCCAGCACCATGCTGAGTGTGGCCCGGACAGGCACAGCGGCTCTGGGCTCCAAGCAGAGCTGGATGCTGAGGAAGTTTCCAGAAGGTGAATTTCAGCTGGGAGAGTGGTGGAGGTGTCACACCTGTCACAGTGGGTTCAAGCAGATGCCATGGTCATAGGGAGAGGCAGGGCCTGGAGCTTTGCCCAAGGGCAGCGGCCTCCACCCCCATGAGAGCAAGATGGGAGCCCCACTTGGAAGCAAGATCCCTACTCTGAGGTTTCACCCACCTCTGTTGCCTCTCTCCTTACCCACCGACACTGAATCACTCCTTGGCACAAGCGTGTGGTGCTCCCACTGTGGGCAGGTGCTGTGACCCTCAGGCCACCTTTGTCACTGGCAGTAGGACATAGGCAGGGGCTCTTGAAAGATGTTCAGGTGTGACCACGCGGGCAGCAGGTCCAGGAGGCGCCTGCAGCCCGGGCCCGGAGCAGGTCGGGATCCCGCCAGGTTCCCAGCCACCTGCTGGCTCTGGTCCATGCTCTGCCCCCAGGAACTGCAGTGGCCGTTTGCGTTCCGAGGGACCTGCAGAGGCCAGCAGTCCCCAGGGCCAGGGTCTGGATTGCCCCAGGCCGAAGGACCCTCCAGCTTGCCCGGGAGCCCTGGGGCCTGTACTGGCCCTGGCACCGATGAACTCTGTTGGGTGGCACAAAGTCTGTGAAGCAGAGATCCTGGGTACTCGGAGCTGCAGCCCAACCCTCCCTAGAGTGTCCCCGTCGGGGCTTCAGGCCTGACACCCTCTGCCTGGCGCCCTGCCTTGGCACCAGCAGGTTGCTCTGCCAGGGCCCCAGCCCGACCTTACCCCAGCTGGGCTGCTGTCACTCCGTAGTCGGAAGGCCGGAGGGCCCCAGCCCGGCCCAACCCCAGCTGGGCTGCTGTCACTCCGCAGTCGGAAGGCCGGACGGCCCAGAGAGACAACAGAGAGGAGGAGCCCACCTTCCTTGGGCTTGGGTCGGGCTGTGGAGATGGTGCGGGTGGGTGATGGTCCAGCTGGCATCAGCCAGAAGGGCTGACCAGCCTACGTCTCCCCAGGCTGTGGACGCCTCCCCCTCAGCCGTCCCCACCCACTGGTGACCCCATCAGTGGACACCAGCGATGGTGGGGCCTCTAGTGAGCGGGGCTGTTGGTGAGTCGTGCCCACACAGGCATGTCCGTGTGTAGATATGTGTAATGTCCATGTGCGGTTCTGTGTTCCGTCCCGCCACTCAGCTCCACGCAGGGTCTGCAGGGTCTGCGGGTCTACACGGTCTGCAGGGTCTGCAGGGTCTGCAGGGTCTGCGGGGTCTACAGGGTCTGCAGGGTCTGCAGGGTCTGCGGGTCTGCAGGGTCTGCAGGGTCTGCGGGGTCTACAGGGTCTGCAGGGTCTACAGGGTCTGCAGGGTCTGCAGGGTCTGCGGGTCTACACGGTCTGCAGGGTCTGCAGGGTCTGCGGGTCTACACGGTCTGCAGGGTCTGCAGGGTCTGCAGGGGACCCAGTGGCTTTGCTGAGGGGAATACGGGGCAGAGGAAGACGCTGATCACCAGGCCGACTGGCCCATTGTGGTGAGCACCAACTTGGTGCCCCACTGCTGGGGGTTCTGGGAGCAGGGCAGGGCTGGCTAGACACCCCCTACCCTGGGACACGCCTGGCAAGAGGTGGACTCTGTGTGGGGCTGTCCCTGGTGTGGCCCCAGCCCTGCACGGGCCCGACACACCCCTGCAGGTGCTGTTGAATACACAGTAGCTAGGATCAGGGCAGTGTGAGGAGCAGGGCCCAGCGTGCCCTTGGGAGGGATGCCTGCCTGTCCTGCAGGGGACAATGGACAAGGCTTTGAGGCGCTGCGGCCCACGAGTTCAGCTGCGGGGCTGAGTGCAGGCAGCCAGGCCGAGGGCAGAAGCAGCCCAGCCTTGTGCCTGCATGAGGTGTCGGGATTGTAAGTAAGGGCAGGGGGGCAGCTGCCTTCCCACACCACACACTGCAGGACCCGGATCCCTGCCGCAGCCCACCACACCCCCAACTGCTCCGGTGGAAGGTGGCCCTGTCCCCCTTGTCACAGGCACCCATGGGCCTGTCTACAGGGAAGGCCAGGGACAATCCAGGGCCCACCTCCAGCAGCCCGGAAGGCCTTTCCCGTCGCCAGGCACTGCCACGCCGACTGCTTGCTGAGGGAAGCTCCATGCTCTGGCCTCTAGGGTGGTGGTACAGTGTCCTGGAGTGACAGGTGTCCCTGCCCAGGGTGATGGTACAGTGTCCTGGAGTGATGGTGTCATGGGTATTGCTATCAGGGACACTGGGCAGAAGGGACCACAGGTGGCTCCTATCCACAGTGAACTCAAAAGACTCGGAGGGATTGGTTTTCAAACATGATGTGCCACGTTATCCCTGAGCCAGTGATGTCTCGCTCGGATCAGGACTCAGCGGGTGTGCATGCTGTCGGGGGCACCTCAAACTTGGGGTCCTGAGAGACGTGGCCAAGAGAACGATGTCGCCACCACAGAAGCATCTGGAAACTTCCGCCGGACTGTGGGACTACCGGGGCTAACCTGGCCTTGCTGTCTGCCTCCACAGGGCACCCAGGACGCCACGGCTCCACCTGAAGCGATGGCCCAGCCCTATCCCCCTGCCCAGTACCCACCTCCACCCCAGAACGGGATCCCCACCGAGTACGCCCCACCCCCACCGCACCCCACACCGGACTACTCAGGCCAGACCCCGGTTCCCCCCGAGCATGGGATGACCCTCTACACGCCAGCACAGACCCACCCCGAGCAGTCGGCCACCGAGGCCAGCGCACAGCCCATCGCTGGGACACAGACAGTGCCGGTAAGGGGGCCCTGCCAGCCCGAGGCCCAGGGCCGGAGGGCACGAGATGAGCAGAGTTGGTGGGGGAGCTGGGTATGAAGGGGCACGACTCCCTGCCCTCACGTGCTCGTCCTGCAGTCCCACACCTAGGATCCTTGTACTGAGCTGGCGGCCAGAAGGCCTAGGGCACAGACCCTGCCCGCTCCGGCTGCTTTGGCTCCCACAGGCCCTAGGAGGTGGAAGGCATGTCCTCAGAGGCGTGGGCTGGCGCGGGGTCCGGCTAAGACAGCTCCTGGCGCGGGGTCCAGATAAGGCAGCTCCTGGCGCGGGGTCCAGCTAAGGCAGCTCCCGTTACAAGCCCCCCAGGGCCCTCAGAGCTGTCTGGGGGTGCAGGCCCCCCTCTCGTTCTTAATCACTTGTAATCTACCTGCTGGCTGCCCTCCCATCAGATGGCTTCAATTATGTGGTTGTAATGCAGCTGCAAGGTAAAAGTGCTGAGCCATGCACTTCTAAGATTTCCTGAGAGTCCAGGGGCAGGGGCCGCAATGGGTGGGCTCCCTGGGCAGGCCTCCCCTTCCCAGCGACACGGCGGCTGCCCAGCCCTCGCCTCCACCCTGTGCCCCCAGCCCCCAACCTGCTCCACCCTTTCCTGGCCTCCTGGACTGCTCTCTCCACAGCCTCCCCAGCTCTGGCCCATGGCCGCCCCTGCTGGCTCTGGCCCAGCAGCTGCCTGGCAGGCGCTGGGCAGGAGGCCAACATACCGCACTACTGGGAGAGGTGCCCCCTGGCAGCCTCCCAACAGCCCCTACCTCGATCATCCCACTTCCCAAGATACCAGCCCCCCTCGGCTCGCAGGAGGGGCTCCGTCCAGCACTGCCCAAGCCCCATCTGATGCCCAGCCAGCACTCTTCCTCCCTGCCGGGGACTATCAAGTCTACCCCAAAGCCATCAGACTGTGGCCGGCTACAGAACATTCCCCAGGGGCCCCCAGCCACAGGCCACAGATGGCCAAGGCCGAGCCCGTGGCCTGCTGCAGACAGACCCTGGGTTAGTATTGGCCTCTGTGGGAGGGAGCAGGGGCAGGAGGGGGTCTTGCAGACCCCAGCCCCAGCACCTCACCAGGAGGAACCTGGGCACAGAGCCCGCAGCCAGATCTGCAGGCAGCCTGAGCTTCCTTTGTGCGGGCAGGGCCAGATCAGCCACCAGCTGCCCCACCGTGCAGCCCCTTGCTCCCGCGGCCGGGCTCCTGGCACACTCGCCTCCGTGGACTTGGGGGATGGCAAGTGGCTTGACTCGCCCACACTCTAAGAGCCGGTATTGTTCACATGCCCTCAGGGTACCGGATCCAACCCCAGGCTCACACCCCGGGCACTCGGGGGGCTTGGAGAACACGCATAGTCAGGAGTGGCCCTGAACTGCACACAGGACACAGGCCGCACGGTGTGTCCAGCGAGAGCAAGGGCTGCCATCTTCCTCCCCAACAGCAGAGCGTGCAAGGGACACGGGGACAGGCTGGGTCCTGCAGCCTCCAGACTGGGACAGGCTGGGTCCTGCAGCCTCCAGACTGGGACAGGCTGGGTCCTGCAGCCTCCAGACTGGGACAGACTGGGTCTTGCAGCCTCCAGACTGGGCGCGTTGCCCGGGTCCCAGAGAGGCCGTGGCCTTCACGTCCCTCGGCAGCCTGACGGGCTGGGACCCACGCTGCTCCCTGGGGCCTCTGGCACGCAACCTAGTCGGAGGCCTGCTGGCAGAACGCAGGAGCAGGAAGGCAGGCTGTGATTGCCTTCAGGGCCAAGAGGGGGCAGCCATCACCATGAGGCCATGGAGGCCCCTGGGCACTTGGTCCCCTCTGTCCACTGCCATCCCAAGTGGCAGGTGCAATGACCCCGGCTACCCTGACCCTGAAGTTGTCTCATCCTTGTCAGCCCTCTGGCTGTTGCAGAGTATCCATTAGTAGTGACTTAAGCCAATTGGATACTTCTGGAACCCACACACCTACAGTCTCCTGGGAGCTGAGCCCTGGCCCGCTGGGTTTGGGGAGGGCAGACTGCAGACACAGAGAGCCCCTGGAGGAAGCTCCTGGGCGTGGCTGTGACCGGCACTTTTGGGTCTCAGGCTGGGTGTCCAGCTGCCAGCGCTCCGTCTCCCCAGCGGCCAACGTTGCCAGAGCACGGGGCCTGGCAGGGAAGTGGGTGCGAGGCCCGCCTTGCAAGGCCCTCAGGGCCCATCCACTGGAGAAGCTCATGTGGGGCAGTTCACACAGGCCACGGCCGCTGTTCTGCAGGAGCTGAGGCACACGTGTGGACCCCTCTGCAGGCCAGCGCCCAGGGCCGGTGCAGCTACACTGACTCGGTGGGATCTGACGCTGTGGCCCCGTGTGCTCGGGGTGACCCTGACCTCAACTCAGACCCCAGCTGCCTGCAGGCTGGCCGCCCCTGCCCCAGCCAGGGACAGGCCTGAGCTGGGAAAGGGGCGGCCCCTCCCAGGCCGAGGAAGACCTGAATTGGGGTGGCGGTGGTTAGGTGGCAGGTCACAAGCAGGATGGAGGTCAGAGTGCTCTCCCTTGTGGGAGCTGTCCCTCGGGAGCTGGGCACGGGTGAGGACAGAAGTGGGTGGGGGTCCCCACACAGCCCGCTCTCTCCCACAGCAAGCAGATGAGGCGGCCCAGACCGACAGCCAGCCGCTACACCCCTCCGACCCCACAGAGAAGCAGCAGCCCAAGCGGCTCCATGTCTCCAACATCCCCTTCCGGTTCAGGGACCCCGACCTGCGGCAAATGTTCGGGGTGAGTGACCGCGGGCCCCGTCTGTCTCCGCATGCAGCCTAGGGGCCAGCACTGGCTCCCCTGGGCCTGGGGGTCCAGCACACCCATCGTTAGGGCCTCGGTCCACTGCCCTCCCCTCCGGCAGCCCGGCCAGCCTGCTCATGTCACACCTCCCCGGCCCGTGTCTCTGTGGGCCAACGTGGCAACGCACAGCTGAGAGGGCTCAGGACCCTTCCTCCACCCTTCCTCCTCCTAGATCTAGATTCCACCCTGCAGGGGTTCGGTCACATTGTAACAGTTCCTGGGTGCTTGGCCCTGTCACTGACCTGGAGCAGCCAGCAGGCTCCCAGGCCCGTCCTGGCTGCAGAGGCCCATGCTGCCTGGCCTTGGCCCTCCTCCCACAGCCACTGCTGTGTCCACTCCAGCCAGGGTAACCCTTGGTCCCGATCCCCAGGCCCCTACCTGACATGAGATCTGTCAGGCAAACAGGAGGGATGGGTCCCAGACAGCCCTGATGGGAGCCCAGCTGGGAGGCCTGATGGGAGGCCCGGACATGCTGACATGAGCTCATCTTCACATGGACTGGCTGGGTTTAGACTCACTGGGTGGGGAGGGCCCGGGGCCCCCCGCAGCCCTCCGGGCCCAGCACGTCACTGGGATCCTACAGGGCAGGCCCCAGGGACATTTCAGCTGAACGCAGTGCTCACTGGATGCCCACCCAGGAGGCCAGGGCCTCAGGGCCTCATGGACACTCTCCAGGACCTGGTGGATAAATGCATGGCCTCACGTGCTAGGGAGAGGCTGGGATGACAGTCACTGCCCGCCTGGCCGCTGTGTCCTGGTGCAGGCAGGAGCCTGGGTCCCCATCACTGCCGCCTGCACTCCCACCCCTAGCCGGCCCCAACCCAGTCCAGGCAGGCACGACCCTGGGGGCTCGGGCATAAAGGCACACCCCTTCCCCTTCTTCCCCACTCCTGCCTCCTCCCCCATCAGCTCCCTTCCTCTCTTCTTTCCCCTCTAAGTGGTTGGGGTCTCGCGGGGCCTGGACCTTGCATCCTGGTCCCAACACCTTCTTTCTCTGTGGTGACCCCACCCCTGCTGTCCTGGAGAAGGGTCTTCCAGGAGCCTTGACCCCTTACTGCTGACGCCCTGGTGTCCTGCCAAGGGGTCCCTGGTACTGCTGCACCTGCTGGCCCCTGTGACCTGTGCTCTGGCAAGACGAGCTGTCCCCCAAGGACAGGGGCCAGAACCCACCCCCAGGGAGGTGGGGCGGGGACCCTGGTCTGGCTGCCCCAGCCGGGGCTGTCCCTGGAGTGAGGGCCACCGTCTTAACCTGCCCTCCCCGTCTCCTCACCCCTCCTCTCTGTTCTCCGTCTCTGCAGCAATTCGGGAAAATTTTAGACGTGGAGATCATTTTTAACGAGCGGGGCTCCAAGGTGGGTGCCACGCAGAGGCCGCCGCCGTTGGCTGGCTGCAGGTCCCGCCAGGCTAAGGGGGAAATGTGCCTTTCCCTTACCTAGGACCCTGAGCAATGCGGGTGCTCCCCGCTCCTCCGCCAACCCCTCTGTCCTCGTGGCCCAGGCCTGCGCCAGGGTCAGGGTCCTGCCCCTATCTGCCTGCCCACCTGCTCACATGGACAGGTCTGGAGCCTGGGGGAGGAGGGGAGTGGTCACCACTGGGCAGGCGTCCCAGCCCCCAGCTCCTGGGGTGAAGGGGTGGGTCCTGGTCAGGTTAGCAGCCCTTCCGTGGAGAGGTGCTGGGGTGGGCTGGGGACCCCAAGACTGCCAGCTGCCCCCTGTCTCCCTGCCGCCTCCCCTCTGTCTCTTCCTTTTCTCATCCTGTCTCTCTCTCCGTGTCTGTCCTCCTCCGCTCACAGGGCTTTGGGTTTGTAACTTTTGAAACTAGCTCAGACGCTGACCGAGCCCGGGAGAAGCTGAATGGGACGATCGTAGAGGGACGGAAGATTGAGGTGCTCAGATAAGTGTGCCACGGCGGGGACACCCTGGGCAAGGGGTGCCAGCCCTGCCGCTGCCTGCCCCTCAGGGAGCCCCCCAGTGTGTACCCACCACTTCCAGACTGCTGCCAGGAGAGGCAGACTCAGCCAGTACCTCACCCTCCCCCACCTTGCACGCACCTCCTCCCCACGCCAGCAGCTCTGCCAGGCAGGGGTGGGTTCTGCAGCAACAGGCAGCCCAGTGGACAGCCAGGAAAGGGACGAGGCTCCCCAAGGCTCCCCCAGGCCCCTTCCCTTCCTGCACCCGGGGCAGGGCTTCCCCGCAGGCGGGGCAGAAGGGGCCTGGGTGCTGACGCAGGACCGAGAGCCTGGTGTGACGGGCCTTCAGGGACATCCCCAGAGCCCATGTGCCCTTCCCTCTCCTGTCCCCAGCTTCCCCCTGTCCTGCAGCAGCCGGCATGGCCACCCCAGCCTCCCCACACAGCCAGGCAGCCTTGCTCTTCAGAACCGCAAACCCTCACCCCAGCTGGCATCCGTCAGGCAAGCAGGCACCCCAATGGGAGCCGGACGTGTGTGCCCCAGCTGGGCAGGCGTGGTGGACATGGGGGTAGGCGGCACACTGCACCTCTCCCTCGGTCCGTGCTCACCCTGTACATCACAGGCCTTGGGACAGGAGGCGTGGCTGCCTCAAGCCCATGCTGGGATGCCCTTGGGAAGCCTAGGGCCAGCCTGTGGACTGCTCCACCAGGCTCCCTGGACCAGCTGGGCGTAGCCAGTGCTGCAGGCAGAGTGGAGCTCAGGGGCCAGACCTGGCCCGAGCCCCCTGCACCCATGGCTGGGCTGGGGTGGGGAAGCCAGTGGGCCAGCCGCTGTGCCCTCACCCTCCCTCCCCATGTCCCTCCCTGGCCAGGTCAATAACGCCACGGCCCGAGTCATGACCAACAAGAAGACCGGGAACCCTTACACCAACGGTAAGAGCCCAGACGAGGACGCTGCTACCTCCCCAGGGGCACCCTGAGCGCTCCCCAGCACGCAGGACACCTGGCAGCCATGTCCACAGCCAGCCCAGCATGGCGGCACCTTCAGGCCTTGAGTGGCGAGGCGGGACCGGGTGGGGGGACGTGGGGGTGAGAGGTAGAAGAGCTTCTAGAACTGAGCTCTGAGCCGTGCACCTGCGACAGTGCCGCGGCCTCCCAGGCGACGGGCTCAGCACCACGGAGCCAGGGCCTGGGGCGCCAGGGCAGCTAGGCTGAGCATCACGTGGGCAGGCACCTGCTCTCAGAGGCTTCTGCTTGTCCTGTGGCAATAGAGCGGGCACTGGGGCTGCTGCAGGTCCGTGGCATGGCGAGGGGCCTGGCAGCCCAGAGCCGGCCCTGCTGCCCATGCCCAGGAGGGGCGGGGCAGGGGCTGAGCCGCCCCCAGCTGCTCTGTGAGTTGGGAGCACAGACAGCAGGGTGGCCAAGCAGAGGGGAGGACCAGGACAGGGACCTGGCTGGGCCCTGCTTAGCAGGTTAATCTGTAGCTCATCTTTTCTTTATTAAGGTTTATTTCTGTATTTTAAAGGGCAGAGTTTGAGAAGGACTCAGCTCTTCTATCCACTGCTTCACTCTCCAGGTGGCCACAACCAGGGTTGGGTTGGGCCAAAGCCAGGAGCTTATTCCGGATCTCCCACATGGATGCAGGGGCTGCATCCTGACCCACTATGCCACAGTGCCCGCCCTGATGTCCCCCCTCTCCTGAGAACTCGGGGTGCCATGGGCCCACAGTGGGGGATCCGGAAGGGGTTGCAGTCTCTGCCCTGTTCTGTGCGCCCCCTGCTGGCCCGGGCCAGAATAGCAGGGGCCACAGCAGACCCCCAACCCCAGCCAGGAGTGAACTTCCCCCACAAGGAGAACCAAGGGCCGTGGGGAGGGGGTCCCAGGGTGCCTCAGGCCTCGGGGGTTCCAGCCATGAAACTGGGTCCACAGGGGAAGGGGCGGGCACCCTGATATCCAGGACTGACAGGTCACAGTACACCATCAGAATGATGGAAGCTTCCAGAAACCAAATACTCACGCTCCAGCCAGGAGCAGGGAGGGTAAACCCCAGGAAGGACCCCCTACCCTGCCCTGGGTGCCTCTCCTCTGCCTGCCCTGGGTGGGTCAGGAGACAGGCTGCAGGGGAGGCAGTAGGGGTGGACCAAGGCATCAGCCCCGTGCCTACAGAGGCCACCTGCTGGCCAGGGAGCTGGGCAGGTGTCTGGGGGGGAGCAGTGTCCCAGGTGTGAGGACACTGGGCCGGCGAGAGTGGCCACTTGTGGCCACTGAGCTGCCACTTGTATTGCAGGCTGGAAGCTCAACCCCGTGGTGGGCGCAGTCTATGGGCCCGAATTCTATGCAGGTAAAGGCTGGGTCCCTGGCAGACTCGGGGTTCAGGTGAGGGGCTGGGTGGGTGGCCGCTGCTGCTGCCCTCCTCCATCTAACGCTCCTCCTACCGGCCTCCTGCAGTGACGGGGTTCCCCTACCCCACCGCGGGCACCGCTGTAGCCTACCGGGGCGCACAGCTCCGGGGCCGGGGCCGGGCCGTGTATAACACGTTTAGGGCTGCGCCACCTCCACCCCCCATCCCGACTTACGGAGCGTGAGTACCTGCCAGGGAGCCGGGAAGCTGGGGTGAGTGTGGGTGGCCGGGGGCAGGGGGAGGCCGGACAGCTGTCTGGAGGGGAGGGGGTCCCGGGTGGGTGTGGGCAAGGAGCTGAGCAGCACGGAGGTTACCCTATTGTTATACCAAACAGGGCCCTGGAGCAAACGCTTGCTAAAATGCCCGTCCCGTGGGCGGGGCTGGCGCCGTGGCCCCTCGCTCCTCCGCCGCCTCCGGAGCCGGCCTACCCCGCCTCGCCAGCGTTCCCACCACTCTCTTGTCCGTTTGCTTCCAGGGTCGTGTATCAGGATGGATTTTACGGTGCTGAAATTTATGTGAGTGTAGCCGCGGGAGGGAAGGGTGACAGGTGGCCCATCCGAGACTGGGACCTCCCCTCCCTCCACCTGTCCTGGGGGCCTGACCCTGTGGACGGGGTGGGGGACAGTGGGTGGCCCTCACATCCCAAACACACTGGTGTCTGTTGGAGCACCCCTAGTCTGGTACAGAGAGGCCCAGGGCGACCAGGGGCAGGGATAGGTCCCTGCACCCCTGGCATCTGGGTGGATGCCCACTCAGGCCCTTTGCCCAGGGTCATCCAGAGCAACCCCGTACCCACTGGCATCCCGGTCAGGAGCTGTTGGCCTCGGTTAGGGCTAGGTGTCCAGCTCTGGGGCAGATGGGCCTGACACTCGTGTCTGAATGAACAAATGCATTGGCAAATGAATGGGTGAATGAAGCCACTGGGTGGAGCGGACACCTCAGCTGGGAAGCCAGCTGTCCCGGGCAGCGGGGCGCCACCAGGAGGAAGGTCCCTGCCCTTTCCGGAGCCCTCCTCAGTCTGCTCTCTCCTCCCACCCGCCCCGCAGGGAGGGTACACGACCTATAGATACGCTCAGCCCGCCGCCGCAGCCGCCGCCTACAGCGACAGGTGAGCCAGCCGCACCCTGGGCCAGGCTGCCTGGGTTTCTGCCAGTTCCCTGGCTGTGAACAGGGAGCGAGCTGCCCCTGACTCGCCCCCTTCTCCCCCTGCTGCCCAGCAGCAGGGCAGGGGGCATCCTGTCCTAAGTCCTGAGGCTGTCCCAGTGAGAAGGAAGAGGAGGCACCCTCACCACCGTGATCCTGCCCAAGCTGCCATGTGCCCACCTTACAAGGGCCAGCCCCGCCCACCTGTGCCTGCTCTGCTCACACACCACCTGTGTGTGTGTGTCCCTGTGGGCTGCCCCGTCTCAGGATCCACCTGCACTCGTGGGTACACCTGCCTGTTGAGTGCTGTGGGGTCCAGCCCCCTCCCACATACTTAGGCATCTGCATTTGTGCCCTGGTCCAGACAGGCTGTCCCAGGGCCCCTTCTGCTGTGTGCTGCCCCTGCCAGGTCAACATGTACCATGTGCATTCTGGAAGTTTCCAGTCAGGACAGGCAGTGAGGAGGGCGAGGGGTAAGGAGCACTGGGAGGACATATCTCTGTCACCTCCACTCACCGGCCCCTTGCTGTCCGCAGTTATGGCAGAGTCTATGCAGCCGCCGACCCCTACCACCACACCCTGGGCCCCGCCGCCGCCTACAGCATCGGCACCATGGTAAGGAGGCTGGAACGGGCACCGCTGAGCCCTCCGAGCCGGCAAACAGGAGGCGCACAGGGCCTCAAGGGAGCAGACAAGTCCTGTGCCGGGGAGGGGAGGCCCTCCCAGTCAGGATAGGGGTTGGGAAGATACAGGGGCAGTCTGGCCATCTGGGGGGTGCCTTCTCCCGAGTCCACGTGCTCCTCCCGCCTGGAAGGACCGCTCCATCCCCCCACAGCCACCTGCTCCTGCTGCTTGCACCACACCCGCCTGCAGGCTCCGCGGGCTGGAACCACCTGTGTGTGTGTGTGTGTGTGCATCTGTGTCTGCACATGGGTGTGCGGCCAGCCGTGGACACAGCAGTCAGCTCACGCCCACCCCACAGCGGCTTCCAGCACACACACCCCCACACACACCTCCCACAGCCCCTCACCTCCTGCACCTGTGCTGAGCTGGGCCTCCAGCATCAAAGATGAAAATGCAAGGGTGAGCTGCAAGACCCCGAGGCCGGGCCAGGGTGTCCCTGGCTCCCAGCCATGGCTCCCAACTCCCCACTCAGGGCGCGCTCTCCCAAGTTTTGTCATTGGTTGGTAACCAGCCTCAACAGCCCCTCTGCGGTGGCTGAGCCCGGCTCCCACGGGCAGCTAAGGTGCTCAGTAAAGCACACGGCACCCTCTGCCTTTTCACTTGGTGTTTTTAAGATTTTTCTCTATTTCCTCCTAAGCTTTGTCTGAGGCTTGCTGTTTTCTCCGCTTTTCTGTGGGTCTGGGGTGTGAAGTCTCCATTCTCTAGGGGCAGCCTGGGGCAGCTGAGCTTGCCCTCCCAGGATCCCTGTGAGTGCTCTGGCCAGTGGAGACAGAGCCTGCAGGGGAGCTGGCTCAGGGGGCTGCAGGGTCCTAAGGGGAACCCTCTGCATTGCGGCCCCAGGGTGTGATGGGATGGGGCTCAAGCCTGCACCCTCCCTACACCACGTAGGGGCAGTGTCTGAACCCCAGGTCAGAAACAGCACAAAGTTCAATGACTACAGCCTGGAACACCTGCCGCTGGCCCCGCCCTGCTGCCCCAATGCCACGCCCTTTCTCTTCTTGCTTCCCCCACTGATTGGGTGTTTTTCATCTTTGATGTTGCAGGGCAGCCTCTGCCGAGGAGGGCACACCCGCTTCACCCCCTACTAGCGAGGGGCCCGCCCCTACCAGCATTCACACTGCTTGCCCACCCACACCCCCCTACAGCCCGAGGACACGCCCGCTGGCCCCCTCATACATTCCCCGCCTCCCCCACCCCATGGCGGTGTGTGTGTCTGTGACCCTGGGGTCTCCCACGTGTCCGTACCCTGAGCCTCGCAGGTACAGTATGCGCACGCTGGGGCCCCAGAGGACCGGCCTGCAGGAGAGGGTCTCCTGGCCGCGGAGGGCCGGCTGTGGGGGGCTCGCAGCCCCCAGAGCGGCCGGCAAGCCCGCCTTTGTGTTTCTGTTGCAGTGAGACCTTCCACTGTTCCTGCTCGGACCACGAAGGGCAAACACAAAACACATACACAAATCACAAAAGAAAAAAAGAAAACCAACCAAACCAAGAGGCGCCCGGCCAAGTCCACGCCCCACACGTGTGGTGTGCACGGCGTGGGAGAGCTGCAAGGGCCGGGCCTCGCAGGTGTGGCCATGGGGCCTGCGTCCACCCAGTCTTCCTTTCCCAGCCCCGCTCCCGAGGCAGGGAGGGCCCGCGTGGAAGAGCCGGAGGGCAGCAGCATGGGTAATTCTTCGTCCCCAGGGGTCCCAGCGCCCCTTGGCCCGTGCAGCCACCCATGTGTGCTGTGGCCTGGCGAGGAAGCTGGGAGGTCTCCGACATCAAGGGCTTTATGCTTCAGCACCGTGGGGCTCCCGGCTGCAGAGCGGAGCAAGCCTGGCCGCACACCCATGAGCTTGGGCAGGGAGGCCCTTGGCGGCCAGCTGTCTCCCACGCCGCCCCCTTCCTGTGGAGTGAAGGCCGACCTGCTGCCTGCCGGGCCACAGCCCTCCCAGCCATTCCCCTGCAGAGCCTGGCCCGTGGGGGAGCGGGGGTAGGACCAGGCTGGAGCCCAGCAGCGGTGGAGTCCTGGTCCCAATGCTACAGGACAGGGCAGCCAGAGCCAGAACAAGACCTATGGGAAGAAGGCGGGTTGGGGAGAGGCCAGCTGGGCCACAGCCTGCCCTGCTCCAGGTCGGGGTGGGCCCAGTGAGGCAGGGGTGGCCGGAGTCCGGCAGCGGCAGACGGCAGCAGGACGTGCGGGTCCTGGGGTGACTCCCGTCAGGACCCTCAGAACTGAAAGGTACACCTCACTTTCTATTCCACATCAGCCTCGAATGCTCCGAAACGAACCCTTTTCTATGCCCGTTGTACACGGCCCCGCGCTGCCCGGCCCTGGCCGCCCCTCTGCTGTCTCGGACCCTCCCCCCGGCCCCAGGACTGCAGCCGAGCCCCGGGCTTCCTCTTACCATTCTGTCTGCTTCCACGGGGCGCGCACCCAGACAAGCAGTGTTACCACTCAGATGATCAATAAAGCTTCCTTTCTTCTCTCGCTGATCGGGGTGCTCTGGGCACAGGAGCCAGGCCGGGGCTTAGGGCTCTAGCACCTTGCCTTGGGCATGCCCCAAGCAAATGGCAGGTACACGGCAGAGACCCCCAGTGCTACGCAGTGTACCCCAGAAGTCAGAGGGGGGAGGCTGGGGGGCCCAGCTATGGTGACACATCTAGGAGAGGGTGGGATGAGGGGACAGAGGTCTCTAGGGCGCCCACGCTAGGCACCGGAGCACGTAAAGGCAAACTCACGCATCTGGCCCAGTCCCACTGAGGGGAAGCAGGGCTTGGGGGCGGCATGTGGCAAAGGGGAGCAGCAACACGAGGCCCAAACTCGAGTCCATTTTTAACCTTAGTGTATCATTTATTTCAGAGCACTCGCACCAGGTGCCAGCACCAGGCCTGTGTCGTGGTGGAGCTGGGACCCTCCAGGGAGCTGGGGTGGCAATCCTATGGCGGTATGCCCTGCTAGCCCATGGTTCCCAGCTGCTCGCATGCCACACCGCGGGAACGTAACTGCCACCACCCATTTGCCTCCTCCACAGAAAACGCAGCAAAGAGGGGAGGGCTCAGTGCCACATCGAGGGCCCAGCTTGCCGCTACGGCCACCTTCACCTCCACCTGTGGGACAAAGCAGGGAACCCAAGGCCTCCCCAGGCCGTGTTTCTAGGGAAGGGGCTTGGCAGGCAGCGGGGCGCCAGGAGCTCAGGTGGGCAGCCCTCCACATGGGCTGCCCTGCCCGGTGTCCCGGGCCCGGGGGAGACCTCTGGCCTTCCTGGTCACCACACCAGAGCCCCCCAGGATCTGGAGACCAAGCCCACCACTACAGGGCCTCGTCTCTCCCCTACAGCTGGGGCAGGGCACCCAGCACAGAAAATGGGCGGGTGAGACCCCACAAACCAAGGATACACAGCCTCTGACACTGTCAGAAGACCAGGACAGACACTGGGGGACAGCCTGGGCAATGACCACTGGGCCACAGGGGGAGCTGCCACCAACAGGAAGTGCCACAGTGCTGTGGCCACGGGAGCTGCCTTCAGGAGCGCTGGGCCCAGCCTGGAGCTCAGGCAGAGGAACAGGAGGGGAGGAGGAGCTGGCAGTGGGAGGACCACAGCCCCTCACACCTGTAGCAACACCTCCTCCAGGGGCCCACCCGGGGGTCCTGGTTGAGGTTCTCCAGCAAAGGCACAAGATGGGAAAAGCCCTCCAAGCTTCATGGAGTGGCCACAATGTGGAAAATACACAGAGCCAGGGCCGAGAACATTCCAGAAAGTTTCAGACACATGACGATAGCCAGTACCGGGGTGGGCCACAGCAGTCGCCTCAGCCCCACCCTGCGAGGACAGCCGACACCCTCGGCCCTAGTAGACCACAGGAAGGCACGGGCACACAGCCCAGCATGTGGGTGCCGGGGTCCCTGCGGTGCCTGCTCTGGCTGCTCCACACGCACCCTGGCAGTCAGCAGTGACACCTCGGGGACCGGGTGCCAACGGGAGCCCCATACCGAGCGTCCAGCCCAGGCCTGGCTAGCGTGGGCCTTTGGGGTGTGAACTCGACAGGGGAGGGCAGGAAGGGAAGAGGGAGGAACCTGAGCACCCCTCATGGCAACGTAAACTGCCCCGTCCGCACCAGCGCTTTGCGGTTCATCAGCAAAGAGCCTCGTGGCTGTCCACTCACTGAGGTGCCCACAAGTGTCGGGAACGGCACCACACGTCCCCACCCCCGCCTGCCAGTGCCCACGGTGTCCTGCCTACACACACGGTGGCCCGCGTGCAGGACCAGCTGCCGCACAGGGCAGGCGGCCGGGAAGAAGCCTGGTGCCGAGCGGGCACGGGCCTTACTCGGGGAGCGAGAAGAGCAGGACCGCCCGGCCCCAGTCCGCCCGAGGCACCACGAAGCCTTCCCTGGGCACAGGCTCCACCAGGAACTCCACGCGGCCTTCCTGGCCACGGCCGGCGGTCTCCACGGCCAAGTCCACCACCCGGTACTGGTTGGCAAATGCCAGGCCCAGGAACTTCTCAGGGCCCAGGGAGCAGTGGACTCGGAAGCAGCGGACCTGGGACAGGACGCGGGACCAGTGCAGGGTGCAGCTGAGCGACAGCCCACCAGTAGCGCCCCTCTGTGCGGAGGCAGCCGGCTGCCAGCGCACCCGCGAGATGGTGACGGCCCGCACCCTGGGCAGGGGTGCCAGCAGGCTCTCGGCATCCAGCACCTGGCAGGAGACGAGACTCAGCCCAGCCCCACGGGGTCCCCAGCCCAGCTCCGGCCTCTCCCCTGCACCCCATCGTGCCTCACCTGGATCTCCCCAAGGCGACAGGAGAAGCTCTCAGGGCCCTGGCTGCCCGGTGGCCGGGTGAAGCTCACCAGCAGGTCACGCAGGAGGCACCCGTGCAGGCTCAGCTTGTAGCAGCTGGGGGAGGGCAGGGAGCAGTCAGGGCTCCCGGAGGGAGGACCTGGCCCAAAGCAGGTACCCATGTGACCTCTGACGCCCCCCCGCCCCGCCGTCCTCGGCTTGCCTCGGGGTCCCCAGGGGCCAAGCACCCTGGTTTCTGAGCGATTCTGGAAGAATCCTCACTCACAGGTGTTTATGCCCCCACTGGGACCCCACAGGGGCAGAGGGACTCACCGCTGGGTCCAGCCCCCACTGAGCTGCCGGCCACAGCGGCCCATGCGCCTGGCCAGCTTGGTTGGGGGCGACGACAGGGGCTGAGGGCTGTGTCTTGAGCCTGTTTCTGTAGTAAGAAGAAAGATGGGGCTTAAGAGGAGGAAGAAAGGGAGAATGCCCTGGTCCCCGAGGCCACAGCCACGGGCTGGGACCCGACCACCTGCTCCCTCTTGGGGTGTGGCCGGCAAGAGGCCGCACAGGCAGGCATGGCTGACAGAGAACCTGTTGAGTTTAAACTCCAGCCGGGCAGGGTCCCCCCACCGACAGCAGCCACAGCAGCCCCTCCCACGTCGCCAGGACCGCTCCGGACCCTTCCCTGCACCTGCCAAGGTCCCCACATACCCTCCCCGGTCAGCACGGAGATGCCACCAACATGACAGCTGCTGTCCCCCATGGTGAGTTCCAAGGCCACGGTGACACCCGTGGATCCCTCGAGCTTATACACCAGGGACAGGAAGACCTTGGGTGGTATAGGCACGTGCAGCGAGAAGAGCCTGCGGGGACACACCCGGGGGTCTCTGAGGGGCCAGCGGTAGCCTTTGTCCACCAGGCACGGGAGCTAGTGACACAAGTCCCCGCGCTGGCCCCAGGCTCTCCACTCCCACAGATCCACCTGTACAAGCACATACTGGCTGCTGGGGCCCAAAGCTCGTGCCCAGGACAGAGCTTCAGCCTTGCAGGGACATCTGTGTCCCTGTGGGACATCTGTGCCCACGCAGAGGCTCTGTGGCAGAGCCGCCTGCACCATGCCCTGAGCACTCACCCACCTCACAGTCACACGGTCTGCCTCGGGTGAGATCTCGCCATGGAGAAGCAGGGAGCTGCCACCATGCCAGGGGTCCGCCAGGCAACAGAGCGTCTTCACCCAGCCCCCGCCGGCCCTGTCCGGTGTGTGCTCGCCAAACAGTGGCTGCGTCTCCTGGGCACTCGGGTGGTACCAGGGCCCCTCCACCTGCTCCTGAACCGGGAGAAGAAGGCTCAGCGGTGCCTGGCGGGCATGGAGCCGACTGCCCAGGCCAGCCGCTCCCACATGCCAACACACCTGGCCGTAGCAGACCCTGCGCGTGCCCATGCCCAGGCAGAAGGACGTACTGAAGGGCAGGGAGCAGATGCTGTGTGTAGGCAGGTAGCGCTCCAGCAGACGCCAGAACCTGCAGAGACAGTGCCCTCAGACCCCCAGGGTCACCTGAGACTGCCCGCCCCCCGGCGTGACGGCAGCTCCCAGCTACAGGAGGGCCTGAGCATCTGCGTCTCCTGCGTCCTCCCCTCTCCCCTCGCAAGACTCACTTGTCCTGGTTCTGGAAGAAATCTTGCTTCTCCAGACACTCGTAAACCCAGCCGGGCGCAAAGAGAGCCACGGAGAAGTGATGCTTTCGGATCAGCTCCAGCGACTGCAGGAGACACAGGACACAGCGTGGCCGGCCGCCCGGGTCAGAGACCTCACGGCCAGAGGGAAACCAGGGCCGGGGCGCTAGGGCCAGAGGAACACTAGGGCTGAGGCACGCCAGGGCCGGGGCTCAGGGCCAGCCAGGGGGTGCCAGGGCTGGGAAACGCCAGGGCCAGGGCTCAGGGCTGGCTGCACAGCAGGCAGAAGTGCAGCCCTTGCTGCTGCCTGGAGCTCCACCAGCTGACAGGGAGAGGGCTCGTGAGAGGCTGCAGAGGCAAGCTGGATGAGAGCAGGCCCTGCAGATGGGGGCCCACTGTGGCCGAGTCTCCCTCACACACATCTCCCAGAACCATAGGGGATGCACGCATGCACTGAGAGCTGACTCAAGGTCCAGGTACTTCCTGGGAGCCGGGAATGGGCAGGGCTGACAGGCAGGCCCCTCCTGCTCCACACAGCGGAGCCCAACCCCCACCCTGCCCAGAACCAGCGGGACGCCACCGCTGTGGGTGAGGAAGCCCCTGGCACGGCCCCACCTCTGTCAGGGCTGCAACTCTCCACTTCAGGACCACCCTCTGCTCCCACCCCGTGAAGCGCAGCCGGGAATGCAAGCCTGTGGGGACCCAGGACCCGGGGTGGGCTGGGGTGGGGCACTGCCCACCTTGTCCGTGTCAAATCGTCCACCAACCACATTTCCCCGTGCAAACACGTCCACGCCCACGTAGATGTCAGCCAGGCGCCCGCCCGCCCCGCCATGCGCTGCAGGTGTTCCTCCCGCCAGTTGTAGTTGGTGAAGAAGCCATCACAGGCATCGAAGAAGACCCTGGGGGGCGGCAGACCTGGGGTCGGGCCTGCTGGCACTCAGTGCCACCCAGGGTACCCCAGCACGGGCATCAGGCGCCGACTGTCTAGCCGGTACCAGTCATGCGTGAGGCCTGGGGAGACAGACGGGGTCCCGACGCACCTGTTTTGCTCATTCAGTTCGTCCTGCCACTTGAGCTGCCCGCTCTGTACCACGCTGTCGTACCAGAGCACCTGGCCGCCCGGCACGTGCTGGTGCAGCTGTTTGGTGAGGTAGCGCAGGAAGGAGGGTGTATTCCTCACCGCAGCCGCCTAGGGCGGGAGGGGGCCTGGGTGAGCCCGGCTGCCTGTGGCACCACAAGGATCCAGCGGGCGTGGGAACAAGAGCCGACAGAGCCCTCCAGACACGCTCAGCTCTCCAGCCATGGGGAGCAAGCAGTCGTGGTCAAGGACCTTCTCAGCGGCATGCGAAGACGGAGGGGAGGGCAGAGAGACACACGTCCAGTCCAGGGCGGTGAGCGGGAGGAGGGCTGGTGAGGGCCAGGCTAGCCAGCTGCCTGGACAGTCAGGGCCGCAAGGCTGGCGGGGTCGCTGGGAGCAGGCCTGCCAGGGCTGGGGAGGGGTGCTGGAGGGAAGGCTGCGAGCAGGCCGGCCAGGGCTGGGAAGGGGTGCTGGAGGGGCAGCTGCGAGCAGGCCTGCCAGGGCTGGGAAGGGGTGCTGGAGGGGCAGCTGCGAGCAGGCCGGCCAGGGCTGGGAAGGGGTGCTGGAGGGAAGGCTGGGAGCAGGCCAGCCAGGGCTGGGAAGGGGTGCTGGAGGGGCAGCTGCGAGCAGGCCTGCCAGGGCTGGGAAGGGGCGCTGGAGGGGCAGCTGCGAGCAGGCCGGCCAGGGCTGGGGAGGGGTGCTGGAGGGAAGGCTGGGAGCAGGCCAGCCAGGGCTGGGAAGGGGTGCTGGAGGGAAGGCTGGGAGCAGGCCTGCCAGGGCTGGGAAGGGGCGCTGGAGGGAAGGCTGGGAGCAGGCCAGCCAGGGCTGGGAAGGGGCGCTGGAGGGAAGGCTGGGAGCAGGCCTGCCAGGGCTGGGGAGGGGTGCTGGAGGGGCAGCTGCGAGCAGGCCGGCCAGGGCTGGGGAGGGGTGCTGGAGGGGCAGCTCGAGCAGGCTGGCCAGGACTGGAGGGGCAGCTCTCACACTCAGTGTGTTCTCAATGTTGATCAGCCAGCCGTCAAAGTGAAAAAACTCTGCCATTTTCACGAGCTGGTTGGCCACTGCCTCGTAGGAACGCCTGTCCCCGGCCAGGAAGGCTTCACAGAGCTTCCTGCCCTCGGTCCACTCCGTGATGAAGGTCCCTGCGTGGACGGGAGAGGACTGAGCTCAGAGGCAGCGGCTCGGGGGCTTTGGAGCCAGGCCCCTGACCAGCAGCATCCAGGACCTCGCAAGCGGCTCTCGGGGTCCCGAGGTGGGCCCCCTCCCCAGACACTTGCTGAATCAGAAGCCCAGAATGAGCAGACGCAGCTTTGAGCCCCTGGGCCAGGGTCTTCCCGCCCTGCAGTCGTAAACTCAGCTGCTGTCCCTGCGGCCCAGGCCGCGTCCACACTGGTCACCATAGGGCAGACAGCTGCAGCTCACCAGCCTGCTAAGGGCCACCCAGGCAGGAGGCCGCATCAACAGGAGGCGGGCAAAAGCACGGGGCGCCTGGCAGGTGCGCGGGCAGGCCCAGCTCACCCAGCACGCAGACGCCATGCCGGTGGGCCGCGTTGGTCCAGCCCACGGGGGGGATGGTGACGGTGTGGTGGCTGAAGTAGACGAAGACGTCGATGTACTGCCAGTGGTAGAAGGCGTAGGGCTGCTGGGCCGCCGAGCCCTGGATGAACCTGGCGAAGAGGCGCAGGTCGGCCACGAGCGGGCAGGCAGGCGCCTCTCAGACCACCACTCCAGCTGGCGGGAAACCCACTGGGCCAGGCGGAAAGAGCAGGAGCTAGCGTCACCCTTGGGTGTTCTCACCCCGGGACCCATGTGAAGCAAACACGTGAGCCAGGCAGGGAAAGCCCCGGGCCCCTGGCTTCCGCTGTGGGGACAGGTCACCGTGTCCCTGCAAGGGGACAGGTCGTCGCCTGCCTCTGTCTGCCTCCGCAGCCAGCTGTGACTGCAGCCAAGCCCGGTTCGGTGTGGAGTGTGCCCAGTGGGCCTAGGGAGGAGGGTGACCCCACCTGGGGCCGGGGTGGGGCTCCCACCTGGCCGCCCATCCCTTCCAGGCCCCAGCCAGGCCTTCACCTGTCCTCCAGGTACCCGCCCATCATGTCATGACACAGCAGAGTCCGGGGCCTGGGGCTGCTCAGTGGGGGCTGGCGACACGCCAAGGGCTCCAGCGCCACGTTGAAGCCATCCTCCTCGCGGGGCGCCCAGGACAGAAGCTCCTCCAGGGAAGACAGGTAAAAGCTGACTGGCGCCGTGGTGTCAGGGTCATAGTACCTGGCTGGAGTGTGAAAGGGAACAGCGGGCATGGTGAGGACCTCCTGGGCGAGGTGAGGGCCAGCCCCACGCAGGACCTCCTGGGCAAGGTGAGGGCCAGCCCCACGCAGGACCTCCTGGGCAAGGACAGAGGGCCAGCCCCACGCAGGACCTCCTGGGCGAGGACAGAGGGCCAGCCCCACGCAGGACCTCCTGGGCGAGGACAGAGGGCCAGCCCCACGCAGGACCTCCCGGGCGAGGTGAGGGCCAGCCCCACGCAGGACCTCCTGGGCGAGGTGAGGGCCAGCCCCACGCAGGACCTCCCGGGCGAGGACAGAGGGCCAGCCCCACGCAGGACCTCCCGGGCGAGGTGAGGGCCAGCCCCACGCGGGACCTCCCGGGCGAGGTGAGGGCCAGCCCCACGCGGGACCTCCCGGGCGAGGTGAGGGCCAGCCCCACGCAGGACCTCCCGGGCGAGGACAGAGGGCCCCACGCAGGACCTCCTGGGCGAGGACAGAGGGCCAGCCCCACGCAGGACCTCCCGGGCGAGGTGAGGGCCAGCCCCACGCGGGACCTCCCGGGCGAGGTGAGGGCCAGCCCCACGCAGGACCTCCCGGGCGAGGTGAGGGCCAGCCCCACGCGGGACCTCCCGGGCGAGGTGAGGGCCAGCCCCACGCAGGACCTCCCGGGCGAGGTGAGGGCCAGCCCCACGCGGGACCTCCTGGGCGAGGTGAGGGCCAGCCCCACGCGGGACCTCCCGGGCGAGGTGAGGGCCAGGCCCGGGGCGGCCAGCAGTGTCTCACCTGGCAAGGGCTGCGGGGTGAAGGAGACCACCTCCCGGAAGACCGCCACTTCCTCCCCTCCTTCCGCCAGGGCCCTGCACGCAGAGGAAGTTGGCCATTTAGCTGGACAGAGGACACGGCGGACACACCTGCCCTCCACGTGGGGCGTCCTCGCGTGAGAGGGGGCCAATGATGAGATCGGGCCCTCAGCAGCCCCTCCAGCACCCAAAACGCCGCCGGCCGACTTCGGGGGGACCCAGGGCACCGGGGGTCGGAGGAGAGCAGGGACAGCCCACTCCTCACCCTGCTGAGGGACGCCCGGGAACCCGAGCAAACCGCAAAGCCCAGCGCAGGGACGCGCGGGAGGCCACCTCCCCGAAGCCCAGCAGCCCGACCCCGGGGGACCCCCGCTCGGGACCGGCCCGAGGTGTCGGGGCCCCCACGGCGGGCAGGCACCGCGCGCCGCCGGCCGGCCCACCTCCTGCCCGAGCGCCGCCGCCGCGCGGCCGCCCGCGTCTCGGCCTGGGCGGCCTCCATGGCGCCCGCGCGCCCCGCCGGACGTCACGGGAGCCCAGAGCCGGCGCAGGCCCGGCCCGCCCCGCCGCCGGCGCGCTCGGCCAATGCGCGGCGCGGGGCCGGCCGCCACTCGCGCTGGACACTCGGTGCGCGCTGGGCCGGCACGGGCGGGTATTTATATCCGGGGAGCGCTGAGGGCGGGGCCTCCTGAGAGGATGAGGGCGGAGCCTCCTGAGAGGATGAGGGCGGGGCCTCCTGAGGGGGCGGGGGGCCTGGGCACGGAGCGGGGCCCAGGCGGGTGAGGGCGTGGTCGCAGTGGGCGTGGTCGCAGTGGGGGCGGGACCGAGACGAGGCGGCCTCCCGGGAGGGGCGTGGCCTGGCGGGGCGGGACCTCCTCCGTGGGCGTGGTCTGTGCTGGGGCAGGCCGAGTTCTGAGCCGAGGCACTTGTCCCCACCGTGGTCCTCCGTTCTCCAGAGATCAGCAGCCTCACTGAGTAAACGGGAGAAACAAGGCGGCGGCTGGGCTTGGCTCCCGCCAGGGTCTGCGTGAACGGTGTTCTATCCCACAACGCACAGGCACGTGTCAGGAGGGACCCTTGTGCAAGCTGAGGTCACTGTTGCTCGGCTGGACAAGGCCGGCAGCAGGTGCGTCCGCTTTCTACGACTCAGAAGCTGAGCGGGTGCCGTGGGCACAGAATGAGAAGGCCAGGCTGTGCCCAGCTGTAGCTTCCCCGCCCCACCTAGCCCCCAGCGTCTTGGGCACAGGCAGCAGGGCAGAGCCAGGTCTCAGGCAGGTGCTGGGCGGGCTGGCCCCCGGACACCTCCCACCCCCGCCCCGTGCAGCTGGGACTAGCTGCAGCCGCGTTCCCACGGGCCTGCTTTATTAGGGGTGCAGACTTTGAGCTTTACGACCCCACGCCGCCATAAACGCTCAGGGTGGGGCTGGGACCCAGTGGCTGAGTGCAGGTCCCAGCCAGCCGACGCGGGCCGTGCCCAGAGGGGGGGCCAGCACCCACTCCCTGTGGGGCTTCGCTCAGGCCTGGGCAGCAGGAGAGCGGGGCAGGGTCACACGGCTCACTCCGAGAAGGTATTGAGCCGGTCTGTGTCTCAGGGAGCCCACAGGAAGCACAGCTGCCAGGGACACTCGGAGGGCCCTGGCGACCCTCGCAGCAGGCTTCCTGGGAGCCCAAAGCTGAAGGCCTCCACCCCAGTCCTGGGGTGAGCCTGGGGATGCCCGGGTCTGCCCCCAGCTTGCCCTCAGGCCTGGATAAAAGGCAGGAGGCCAGTGGCTGAGGAGTAATCCTTGTTTTCAGGTGCCCAGCTGGCTGTTTATTTGCCAGGTCTGGCTTCCTCACCTGTGACCCCTGCACGCAAGCCTCCACGCCGGGCCACCCCCAAGGACCTCTCACTATCCTGGGGCGGTGCCTGCTGGCCCAGGAAGCCAGGTTGCCTGGGGACAGCTGGGCCGCGTGGCACCTGCCCTGCCTGCTCCCAGCTTCGTACCAGACATGGCCTCCTATAGCCTGCCTGGGCTGGCACACCTGCCAATGTGCAGAGCAGGGCAACTGGGCCTGCGCCCTCCTTCCACTCTGCCTGGGTGACAGAAACCAGGCAGGTAAGGGCTTGTCACCTGCTCCCTGCCCAGCACAGGTGCTCAGACCTGGAACCATGGCACAGCATCTGTATTTTATGAAATGGTGTCATGTATATATAGTTCTGCATGGCTCGGTTCACCCAGCCACTTTCGTTTCTATGGCTACGATGGGTTCCTTGTCTCTTAAAGAGAGACAAAGATAAGGCCTCGGTGACCCTAAAGCCTGCATTTTTTTTTACAAGATTTATTGATGGGCTGGCATGGTGGCAGAGTGTGTTAAGCTTCTGCCTTTGGAGCTGCCATCTCATATGGGCACCGGTTTGCATCCTGGCTGGTCGACTTCTTTTAAAAATATCCATGGATTAATTTATCTGAAAGGCAGTGACAGAGGCAGAGAAGTCTTCCATTTGGTGGGCTGTCTTAGGCTCACTGCCCCAAATGCCTGCAAAGGCCCAGGCTGTGCCAGGCCAGGAGCCGCAGCCAGGGTCTCCCACACGGGGCAGGGACTCGGGCCTTCATCTGCTGCCTCCTAGGCTTGTTAGCAGACGTTGGACCAGAGGCGGACAAGCCAGGCCTGGGACCAGCAGGAGTACCGGGGTGGTGCTCACCCAGTGTGCCCCCTCTCGGACACACAACCTCTGTTACATTTCCAATAGGAAAACGCAGGGGGGAGCAGGGGAAGGACCTGCCCCCCCTTCCGCCAACACAGGATCAGTCTGAGTCGTTAAGACTGTCTTTTTCTCAGTTGGCGGGCAGGCTCTAGTTCCACTGTGGCTTTGAGTGGCCACGGCTGTCAGTGCTGACCACACACCTGGCGGGCAGCACGGAGCAAAGCGAGCCTGCTGGACTTGCCGTGCAGGCGAGGTGGGGTTGTAGGCTGTGCTGTGAGGACCCTCTGCAGCACGGTGAGGCTGCTGGGCACCGAGGCCTGTGCTGTGGCCGGCCGCAGGCCTGGCTGGCACAGCCGTGGCCTCAGATGCCTTGGGTGGCATCTCGCCAACACTCACCTTCTCTGGGGGTTCATGACCACTCACGTCAGGTTTTTCTTTCTCGTTGGGCCAGATTTGCTGAGGGTCCGTTTTATCCCAGTTTTCCAAGGAGAGCTAGTGTACTGTCCCCACACATGTTTACGCAGCCTCTGGGTATTAGGAAGTACCTCGCTCCCAGCCCGCAGCCCCTCGCCCCTCCGACTGCAGCCCCTCGCCCCCAGCCCACAGCCCCTCGCCCCGCAGCCCCTCGCCGCTCCGCCCCCAGCCCCTCGCCCCTCCGACTGCAGCCCCTCGCCCCCAGCCCACAGCCCCTCGCCCCACAGCCCCTCGCCCCCCAGCCCGCAGCCCCTCGCCCCGCAGCCCCTCACCCCCCAGCCCCTCGCCCCCCAGCCCCTTGCCCCTCCGCCCACAGCCCCTCGCCCCCCAGCCCGCAGCCCCTCGCCCCCAGCCTGCAGCCCTTTGCCCCCTAACCCGCAGCCCCTCACCCCGCAGCCCCTCACCCCCCAGCCCCTCGCCCCCAGCCCCTCGCCCCTCCACCCGCAGCCCCTCGCCCCGCAGCCCCTCGCCCTGCAGCCCTCTGCCCTGGGGTTGTTTACTTGTGTCTTTTTTCCTTTTCCTCCAGCACTGTCCTGTTATTCATTTCCAGAACAACCATCTCTTTATCGGTTTTGGGTCTTGTTTGCTTTCTGTCCCCCGGCTCTGCATTTTTTTCCTTCTTGCTGTTTTCTTTGGGCCTGTTGTGTTTCCTCCGGTTTCAGAAGTGGACGGTGACCGGTGCTCGCCTTGGGGCCTCGTGGTCAATGAGGGCGGGGGAGGGAGTCCCGGCCCCCGGGGGGACAGAGGCCTCCCATCCGTCCACTGTGCTCCTCAGATGGCCACAGTGACCAAGGCTGGGCCAGGCCAGGAGCCAGGCGCTCTTCTGGGTCTCCCATGTGGGTGCTGGGCCCAAATACTTGAACTGCTTCCCCAGACAGGTCAGCAGGGGGCTGGATCAGAAATGGAACACTCTGGATTTAAACCAGCACCCATGTGGGATGCTGGCATCGCAGGGGGAAGCTTTTCCTGCTGTGTAACACAGCTGACCTCTATCACTAATTCAGTTTGCAGTTCCCGTTCCCTGCTGGGCCCCTAGCCACAGCCCTGCTCCCTGAGGAGCCGGTTTATTCCAGTAGATACTCTTGTACTTTCTGGACTGAGAGCCAGACCCTGGGACAGGCCTGACAGGTGCCTGTAGGCACGAGGCCCAGGTGGACACCAAGATGAGAGAGGGCCGTGCAACATGGCCAGGGAGGAAGCGGTGGCCACGAGGGCCAGCAGGGGTCCAGGGCCAGCCGGGACAGCTCGGCCAGCAGCGGGGACGCCTGTGGGGCAGTGCCTAGACTGACCCATGCTATGAACCTGGGCACTCTCCCACGGCTGAGAAAAT